GACTCTGCCTGCTCAGTCTGGTGTCCCTGGCAGTGGGTGCAGGGTGGACAGGCTGTGGTGCCAGGGCAGAAGGGCCAGTTCCAGTGGTGACACTAGCAGTGGCAGCAGGAAGGAGGTGCTGTCACTAGGGCTGCCAAGAACTTGAGTCTGGCCACCACCCTGCCCAAGACCCAGCCCCAGCCCCACTGCATGGCCAGGGGTGGCAGGGCTGGTTGCATGTACCATGGACCAGGCAGGGATGAGGGACCCACCACGGGCCAGATAAAATTCCTTGGCAGGCTGGTTCCAGCTACAGGCTGTATTTTGCTCTCAGGAAAGGAACCATCCTCTCTTCCTTGAATGATCATCTATTCAGATTTAACTCTTGAGGACTAGCAAGTAACATCCTATGTTCAGAGATGAGGAAGAAGAGCCTTACTTACAATGGAGATGCTTTCATGTAGTCTAGATACTAGAAATAAGGCACAGTGAGCTTAGGAGCAAAAGGATGGACTGCTGCTTATATATCTGAGTCAATGGGGCATTGTTTAAAGAGGTGGTGGAGTTCACTTAGACATCAACTGAATGTGACCTGAGGTGATCTTTGCTAATAAAAAGTTGGTGGATATGCAGTCTGACACCCTCCAACTCAGACTGTCCCTTTAAGGGTACCAGTAGTCCCCTTATCCTTTTTACCACCACAGAAAATATACTTGGGAAGGATCTAATTGACTTAATCCTGTGCAGTAATGTATTGTTCTCACTACAAGAAACTCTGGTTAATTCCCAGGGGATAATATGCTGTTATTCTAATACCTTACCAGGGAGCCATCCCAATTATCAACTCCAGATAACTGCTTACTGCTGGATTATATACCATTCTTTTGATTCCCCTGGGTCACATCTATATAAGATGCTGACTGCACAGTAGCTCATTACTACTGTGCAGTAGCTTTGCAAGGCATGGAGCGTGATGTGATGCAAGCGCACAATAGTAATGAGCTACTGAGCAGTCAGTGCCACCTAAAAGCTGTTCGGTGACGCTGCTGCACAGTAATTCCAGTTACTGCACAGTCATTTAATACTACTGTGCAGCATCTAATGGAGATGTAGTCCCAGAGCAGCAAATTAACTTGCTGTGTTCATTATATCTGTAGCTTTTTTCCCCACCAGTGACTAATGAGGTTTCAGGAGAAGTGGAAAGGTGGACTAATGTCAGATGAAAAGGCAGATGGAAAGGTGGATTAATGACAAAGTATAACAGTACCATAGTGAAGAACTTCAGATGAGGCCTGTAGGTGACCTATCCTTACAGAAAGCAACATACAAAGGCTGTGCTGTGAGTGTCTGCATCTCCCCTATTGCTTTGGCAGATTTTCAGTCCTCCTTGAGCTTTCAGAGCATGCTTTAAGAAACATTTCCTTAGTGAGCAATGCTCAGGAATGTGTCCTTCTCCTAGGCAAAAGACACATCCCAAATTTACATCCTGATAGACACTTCCGTGTCACAGGATCATACCTTAGATTTTAGAGACCTGACTTTGTGTATTGGCTGCTTACAGATGTTAAACGAAACAAAGAAACCACACTTCACCAGAAGCAGCAATGGGTTAGTTTGACCCAACTCTGGAACATCTGTGTACATCAGGTACTTCAGTGGGGTTTCAATTGGCTATTAGATAAAAAAGCCAAAAAAGCCCCACTAAAGCATCTAATCTATACAGACATTGGGCAAGCCAGGTCCAGCTAATATGATGTCTCTTCTGGGCATGTGCTGGGCTCAGTACAGGAGTGCCACTGAGTTTAAAGTAAAGCACCATTTTGGAGGGCGGGGGTTTAGATGTCTGTAAGCAGCCTTTGTGGCCATTGTCTGGGAAGGACTAAGCCTTGCACAGTGAAAGAAACTCTACTGATGCCCTGAATCTAGATAGTTTGCCAATGGGCAAACTAATTTTATCTAGATAACTGTCAAATAACAACTGGAACAACAATAGCTCTAAGCAAACTTTTTGATTATGAAGAGACAGACCTCATGGGAATGATTTTTAGTCACAGCGGGTGTGTCTCTACACATGCCACTAGTGCACAGCAATATACCATGGAGCTTATTGCTCTGCAGTTTATTGCTCCAGGGAAGCTCCTGGGATTGCCGTTTACACATGCACCTGGACTACAAATTGAGCCAGGTTGCAGCAGTCCTGGTTGATAGGGAGCGTGTGATCAGCCTGCCAATCCAGGGCTCCTCCAGCTGGGCTCGATGTGCTGCAGAGGGGCTGGCTGGGGCATGAGGGTGCTTCAGTATGGGGTCTAGCCAGCAGTATTTACAAGTACTACCCTGCTGCACAGTTTATTAGTTTTGTGTGCCCTAATAAGGACACAAGTGTAGAAGCTGAAATGTTTACTGTGCAGTTAGTCAACTGCACAGTAAATGTCATGTGTAGACACACCCAGTGGTAAGAAGGAAGATGGCTACAATTGCTGTGACATTAAACCCTAGGACGGACAGAAAGGCTCCCAGAGGCCAAGTGCATCTAAACAGCTGTATGCAAGTGTGTTGACTTGCATGCTGGCTTTATGTTGCAGGTGAAGTATCCATGAGGATTAAAGTGATATTATTCTCTAAAACTCTATGCAGCTAATAACTTGAAGGAAATTATGATGAAAAGTAAGCATACAAACATAGGCACAGGAACTTGTATTTTAAATATCTATTTACATAAAATAATGGCAACAATATACTATTATAGATTTTTAATCATATGCTATTATTAATAGTACTAACAATAGCATATTTAAATAATTTCTGTATGCAAGCCTAAACGTGCTTCAAATAAAGGTAGAAATCTGACAGAATTTGAAAAAATATTGGTCACTCCTATGAAACACAGTGAAACACTATGTTATGTAAAGCAATTTTCAATAGTCAAATAGAAGAAAAAACAGTTTTTGAAAAGGTGGGGTAATAACTCTGAATCAGAAATCAGTGAAGTATGGGAGACCATTTGGAACAATGGGTCTCATGCATCCCTGTACACGATAATAAAATTATTTTAAAATCCTTTATTCATGGTATCTCACCCTACTTAAATGCATTTATGGTAAAGAACCAGGCAAATGTGGAAGGGAGCATGGTCAGTTGGGAGGATTCTATTATGTGATGGAGGTGTTACTGTTCTGGAAGAAGGCTGGAGGCATGGTGAGGAAAATAACAGGATACCAATGGTCAGATAACCTCTTAGTTTTTTTATTAAATCTTCTCAACAACTCTGCAACATAAGTCTCATAGGGAATTGATCACACTTCTACTAGTAGCTCAAGAATTAAAATTGCAAAAGCCTAAAAGAAAAGTGACACCTCTAGAGTCACTGACGGGGTTGAAAAAGTTTGGGATATTTTAGTAATGGAAATATCCCATCAAGTCAGTGTTCTACAAGGGAGAGGCAAAAAGATGCTTACTGGAGAATGTGCTGGAAATTTTTGGGATTTGCTACAAAAGAATATTCTCTTGCCTTTCAAATAGAAAATTTATAAACTTTTTTGAATACTGAAGTGGAAGTTCTATGAGCAAACACTTAAGAAGAAATTTTGAATAAACTTAACAATTAAAAGCAGAGATAGGAAGATAATGAGATTTTTGTTATGCAGAGTTATAGGGAAAATGAAGGAGCAAATTATTGTATAGAGATGAAGAAACATAGGCTTGGCATCAATGGAAACAATTAAGGAACTGTTAGAGCAGGGAGAAGGGAACACAAAACTTCCATGGACATTGACTTGGATTGTGGTGGCACTGTTGGTAAAAGATTAATGTTGTCTGTGTACGTTTTGGAGTATTGGATGCGTTTTTGAATGCTAAATGTTATTTTATGGATTAGACTCAATGCATTTAAAAAAGAAAAGAAAAAGGTATAATTAATTGTACAATATGTGATCATTTTTAAATACAATTTTAAATGTTAAACCTTTGATTATTATGTAAAAGTCAATTATATTTCAACTAAAGATCAATAAAGATGATTAGCAGTGTTCAGACTGAAGTATGCTGTTAGACTTATTTCTATTTTTCTCCTGTATAACACCAGTGACACCTTTTCCTTTTTCTCACCTTGCTACCTAGCAAGGGAGGGCAGTGAGCACACAGAAGTCTTTCTCTTCCAGTACCTAGTGCTAGAGTGGCACATGGCAGAAGTAATGACAGAAATACTCCTGGCTTAACCCCAAGAACAGAAATGCACTGTCAGTTTGGGGAGTAGTGTTTCTGCAGCCTGGTTGTTGCAAGTTGGTGGGGATAAAAAATTTTACTCATATGGAGTGTTAAAAATATAAATGCTCAGACACTTTGCAAGAGAATGGCAGTAAATATTCTTGTGGATATTGAGACTGTTATATGATTTCCTGCAGTTCCAGGGAATCAGACACAATAAACCATAGGGTAGTCTTTTGAGTCCTGCATAAATCCTTTTTCCTATTTGGGATCTGCAAATCATGTAGACCAGAGTTGTGGAAGTCAAAAATGAGTTGGCAGCCAAATCCAGCCTGCAGGGCTTGGTGCAGACCCAACAACGTACTTTCAAATCCAGGCTGCTGGGCTTCTTGTTGCAGCTGCTACAGCTGCTGTGTCAGTGTGACCAGCATATGCTGGTTAATGTCACCAATTTGTGTGCCAAATGGTAACTGAAAATCAGAAATTTGGTGGCAAGTAAGGGGCAGAATAGCATTAACCCCATGCTCTCAGTGCCAGTGACATTGACAGCAGCTGTGGGAGTAGCAGTGAGAAGCCCCATGGGCTGGATTAGCAGGTGAGTTTTTTTGCCAGAGAAGCACTATGGATCAGATGACCCACCTCCAGGGGTCAGATGTCTGACAACCCTGCTATAAATCACATTTTTGTGATTGCAACACTTCCCTCTCAATCCCTACTAAAGAACCAAACTCTGAATTAAAGTTTGCAAATACAGGTTAATAAGTGTACAGTCCCAAATACACTTACCTTTCAAGTGAGTGCACACCACATACATCCAGCTGTCTTTATGTTTTATGTTAAAAACTTATCCAAAAGAACCTATATTTTTGCAACAAAGATGCAACCATTGCAATATACAAATAAACACTTTTACACATCTGGAAGGGAGTACAGAAGCCAAAAAGCTGAACATTTTCTTAGGAAGTATTTATATCAGTGTGCATATTAAAAAAGCTGTGCGCACGTTTGAATTTTCTTACAGTTCCTAGGGATATAGAAAAAAAAAAAAAACACATTTTGCCAAGTGACAAAATTTAGCAAAACCTGACAATCAGAACCAATCAGATAACCCAACATTTTCAGTTTCTGATTGAAATATAAATATACTCCCCCAATACAATATGCACTGTCTCTTTCTATTATGTCCAAAATGCCTTAAGCCCCTGATTCAGCAATGCAGATAAGCATGTGCTTAAGACTCACTGATTTGTAGCAGTATTCCACGCCTAAAGATGAGTGCACATAAGTGATCTGCTGAGCAGACGTAAAGAGTCAGGAAACCTGCTAGGTTCCCTAAAATTCTGTTTTAGTAGCCTAGTTTGCAAAAAGAGTAACCACAGGTTACAGCAAAGTGAGACTGTTATGGAAAGTTACAGCCAAAGTAACAGGGTGAAGTCTTACATAGTTTATGTAAACATAATCATGCTATATCATGTTCAATCTGTAAATGTCATATAAGGCTTTAATAGACAACAATTTTTTTCAGGTGAGAAACTTCATCTATTGGTGTGTTGGCATGGGTGGCTACAGGGTCATGTTCTGAATTAGGTAACTCGTCTTCTACAGATGTTTTATTTGCAGCTGGTTCTGTAATTTCAGCATGCAACATCTGCTCCAGTCTCTGAATACCTGCAGAAAGGAAAATATGGTTATTAAAGTTTTCTCCCCCCCACACTGCAACAGAAACAAGGTTGAGTTTTTAGATGGCAATACCCATATATTTAAAGCAGCTTGTTTGAACATTAACTTTGCAATAAAAAACTTTTTCATATGCTGCAGATCCCTTTCTGTAGTTTTCAAATTGGATGTACAGACCAGTTTGAGAACCCTAGGGATTAGGAGTTCTGAATGGACTCTCACATTTGTCCCCTTTTAATCAAACATGCACACTGGTGTATCATAAACTAAGAGTAAAACTCAACTTACACAAATACATCTTATCTGCAGAATCTGAGAAGACCAATCTAAACCATCCAGGCTCAGAGCAGTAAAAGGCTTTTCCAGGACTAATGAGGAGTTTTTCATGAAGCAGCTTCCACCATAACTCCATTTCAGCTTCAAAAGTCTGTGATTTTAAGAACTAAAACATGGAAGATACAAATTACATTAAAGGATGCAACAAAATCAAACTCACAACTACTTTCAAATTGTACTTCAAATCAAGGCTTGAAGGATGGGATAAGTCAGAGCAGTCAAGCACCTGCACAACCCTGCAGAGGTTTAAGCATCTCTGCAAGTAGAATCTGAAGCTTTCTGATTAGCAGTTCCTTTGCCCAGTACATTGCAAAGGAATTATATTGCAAATCCAGTCCTTTCAGTCTACAGTGCTAGATTCACACTCTGCTGCTAAGGATACTATGTAGGTGTTACCAGGTCCCACATGACAGTTCACATTTCTGCAGCTAAACTGGTACCAGCAGCCAGGCTAACTCTGAAGTAGCTGCAGATTGCAGTACAGCTTCTTAGTGCTGTAATAAGCAGAGCTGCTACAATTTTCTCAAGGTTTCCTGAGAAAACAGCTTGTCTTCTTTTTTGCATGTGGGAAGGAACTAAAGGTCAACAGTTGATTGATTTAGCTCATTCATCTCTAATGCAGTGTGGGCAGCTTACCAGCCTGAATGAAAGCAGTGCCCAGGCTCTAGTCTACATCCACAGCCAGGCCAGCTAGCCCAGGTTTAAAGCAAACTTGGGTGAAAGGACTGTATGTGGAGGGCAGGTGAGTTAACTGTTAAAGACAATGTATTGGGGTTATGTTTCTGCTAGGAGAATTACCACTCGCCTGATAGAAAGTAGGAGCATATAACCATTTGTTCAATTTCTCTGGGGGCAAACATGCTCCCTCAGGTGGAAAGTTCTTATGGGTTGAAACCTAGAAGACTCCCCTGCAAGAGAAACTCTCACTTCACATGAATAAATGCCTGTATGCTCCCCTCATGGTCCAGTCTAGGAGAGAAGCGGAGCAGTGGGGACTGCTCAGCCTGGTCCCAGTCCAGTCTGCAGGATGGGAGTGGAACACAGTAGGCAGGAAAGATTCCCTGATCTGAAGAAGAGCAGGGAGTCTTTCCCTGCCACTCCAGTCCATCTACGAATAGGACTGGAGCAGCCACTACTCCCCACATCTTCCCCAGACTGGGATCATCATGGTTTTGGGAAAGTGCAAGGAATCATAAGAGGGGGTGGCTGCAGGCTGCATGCTTGTACTGTGCCTTCTCTCCAGGCAGTATTTTTAGCAGTAAAAAATTTTCAGATATTTCCACTGGTAGAAATGAACACACTTGTACCTAATATTACCTTGGGTAGAAGATCCATTTAACTGTATAGTGAAGGCACACCCCATAAAAGAAAGGCCTGCAGTGACTGGATACATTATTTTCTCCCAATTTCACTCTAGATATTTTGTCTTTTGTGCCAATGGGCCATGTGGTTGAACTGCCACATGCAGTTAGGGTCTCCTATCCCCTCCTACACTCTTCTCTTCTTTGTCTGTCCATTGAGCTAATTGTCTCTCAGCATAACCTGACAGAGTAGATATAACCAAAGTTAGTAGCAGGGATCCTGTTTTTTCCTCATTAAAAAAAAATCACAAATTCTCCAATAAAAAAAATTAAATTGCAAAATCTCTTCTAAAACCCCCCAAACCCATGATTAAAATTAAAGGCCCCACACAGCCCCCACCCTCCCCTGCTTGTGCTC